TTACTTCTCTCAGTTTTTCTTCGAATATACTTTTCGTCTTTATACACTCTTCTAAATAGTCCTCGCATTTTCTTTTAACCTCTCTTACATCTTTCATTTCTATCATATATCTCCTAATTAGTTCTATCTCCTCTTTCTTTATCCTATCCTCCTCTTTCTCCATAAAAGTTACTCTCTTTCCCTTGTCTCCTTCCTCTATCAGTTTCCTTTGTTTGTCATCCTTGCCTTTTCCCTCCTTGTCTACCTTACCTACCTTACCTATCTTACCGCCACCTCTTCCCGCCATAACCTCAACTTTCCCGTTCGTTCTTCCGGGCTTTGCTGTCTCCTATTCCTTCCGCACTCCTACTTGCCTCCACTCTCCCTTCTTCTATGCTCTCTCGCCTTCCTCCTGCTTATCTCTATTCTATACCTACGCAGCTCTATCGCTTTATTTCGCTTTGTACCTCGTACCACTCTCTCCCATACATGCGCTCTCTCACACTCCACCTAACCAAGTCCGACTAATCGTATATAAAAACTACTTCCTTCTTAGCGCTTAGGTACTAGAAATACTTGAAAGAAATATAATTCAGTGCACACACATGTGTGTGACTGCAAAGAATATTTAAATACAGAGATATTTAGATGAAAGCGTAATTCGCTACAAGTATTTGTTGCAAAAATATCTGGATATAGAAACAAGGTCCTTGAAAAAAAAAGTACCTTGATATAGATACCCCTTGCAAAAAGTATTCAGGTGCAAAAACAGATACTTCCAGCTACACAGAATATTTTATTAATTAGAATACTTGTTGTTTGCTGCATATTATTATAACATCGATAATAATTAATTATTTCACAAACCTGCTTATTTTATCTTGTATAAAATATTCTATAGAGTAATATATTATTAATTGTAATTAAAAAATATTTATACAAACGGATAAAAGTACATATAATGCAATTTTTGCTCATTAATTATGTAAATGTAATTTTCATAAAGCGTTTATATTAAAAAACGGCGTGATTCAATTTTAAGTTTCGGAATTCTGCAGCACGCGGGCGGAAAGAAAGACAGGAGGGAGAGAAAGAGAGGGTGACTCGAGATAATAATTACTTATGCGATGCGCCCAGGCATTTGCTTTATTAAAAAATAATCCTGATTTCTTTAACACGAACTAGAAAAGGTGGAAACGACGGAAGGAGAGGAATGGATATTCCTGGCGTCGTGTCATGACAATTCTTCCGACCACGGAGCCCCGTGTTTCGCTGTATCTGGTATGATTTACAATTCCCAGGACTCCGTATTTCATCCTGGGCTACAGACACGAGCAACTCTTTCACGGACTATCGGCCCCCGCGTGCGCCGCACCATCTGCTTTCCCTTGATTTCTTTATTTCCACCGCCGCGAATCCGCCGATAATAATATCGGCATGGGGAGCATCGGAGTCTTTCAAAGCGCAAAACTATTTCTGCCGCTTAATTAAAAAAGTCTTGCCTGGCACGATATCAATTTCGTGTATTACTTTTGCGAGAATGCGTTCGCGTGGCTATCGGCGTTCCACTACGTTCTGTTAGCGGTGGTGGTTCCAAACATTTTCAATTAACCAAGCGGTTTCATCTTATTTTACGATCTGCACGCTCCTCTCAATCGGCAGAGATACGACCCCCTGGACATTTTGTGATTAATATCATATTTATTAGTATTATTAATTATAATATATTGTGTCACGATAATACTGTCAATTGTGCTATTAATAATTATGTTCTCCAGTAATATATTGTCTTTACGCGTAAACCAATAATGCTCATTATCATACAAATTACTCAAACCAACAACTTGCATTTTTGATTCGAAAGAATAGGATAATGGATAAATCACTTCTGAATTGACGATAGACAAATCTGTTGTTCGTGGTCATCGCAGAGGTGACGGATATGAAGGCGGCAGAAAATGGGAAAATCGGCGGCCGAGGGAAAGCCAGAACGAGGGAGAAGACCTCTGAGAGGAAAGAGACCGAGGGTTCATTGCGCCCAAGAGCGACAAAAGAGGGATGCCGTTCCGCAAATATGAGAAAGCCTGAAAGTGACGCTCTCTCCTCGCTTTGAGCGAAGCAACGGCGATTAGCGAACCGACGACGGATACGTACGCACGTTTGACGACGATCCTAATTACCGCGGTAGGAAAACACGTCGTGCGTTTAGTTATATTCGGCATTATATAAACGTCAGGGTCGCATATCGTTTACGAAGCCGACAGCTTCTCTCGAAGGCGAGCAAACGCTACTCGCGTCGCGTCGCGTCGCGTCGCATCGCATCACACAGCTCCGTATCGCAGTTCTCGACACGCAACATTTCCGAGTTACGCACACCGCGTGCAAAATCGATTGCGTGATCGCCTCTACCTTGACGTATTCATACGCAAGGTCGGGCTTCTCGGCAAATCCGACTTTGACTTTAACGGGCGTATTCCAGACGCAAGTCGAACTGATCGAAGAACTTGTCTGCAAAACGCGGTAGAATAAAAAATCCGTCCGTATCCATTTAATACACATCTAAAGGCTTTTGCCCTGAAAAGCCTTTGGATGAGAATAAAATATGCAGCGAATAAAAAATTCAAGAATAGAGGAGAAGGACGCGTATGTGCGCGCGCTACATACGCGGCGTATTAAAGGGATTCCATTAGTCGCACGCAGGTATACACGTGACAGTATTTCCTTAAAAATGCCCCGTGCTCCTTTTTAATTCTTTTCGTACCGCGATGAAATATTTATTTGGCGCGACAGCAAAATGGAGAACGCAGAGGAAAAAAAGGGCAGCCGCCGAAATGGCCAATAGCTACACTCCTTGTTCTCCTTCAGAAAGAGATCTGTCGCTACATCTTACGTAGGATTTGCTCTCCGGAGTAAGTGGTCCCTCCTTCTTCCCTCTTGTTCGGATAAAAACCCAAAGACTCTCCGATCCGCGTTACGCGCGTATTCCCTCATCCCCAGGGCATCCTTGGCCATTTTTTTTTGCCACCCGCCTCGTATCTCGTAACTATTTGGATCGCACCTGCCGCCACTTGCATACTCCATCGAGGAGCAAAAACTGTGACAAGACTGCTTTTTTGTCCCTGCGCGGCTCGTTCGGGGGTTTAGCGGGCAACTGTCCGGCACGGCGGACCGTACGAGATGAAAAATGATATTTGGCAGCTTCCGTGCGTACACTATCGCCGTATAAACCGGCGATTTTACATTCATGGCCTCAGAACGTTGCATTATGAATGCTCATTACGTAGTGTGCGCTGTCACGAAGCAGGACGAACGTATTAGCGCAGAGAGGCAAGGGATGATTAAGTACCATAATAACGGTAATGGATGGTTTAATATTTTGTTGAAATATTTAAGCGGTATCACGCGCGCCAACGGCGACGAGTAAGTAGTAATATTTTAAAATGCAATTCGTACGTAATCCTTCGCTCCAAGATTGTTACTTTTAATGGAAATCAATTCTTAATTAAGCGACGATTGTATCAGCGTTTTTCACTTTGGGTGTCCTCCTAGAACCTTTTAATTACCTTCAGGTAATCTCCATGTGTTTAATCCTTAATGCGGGAAGAAATTCGCCGGTGAAGCAAATTACCGTCATCGCCTTAAGGCGCCGTTATTTACCGCACCGCAGGGCTGTGTTAGCACAGCTGATATATACCGCGATGTATTCATCGTTTAAACTCCAAAGAAGCGCCGATGCTGCTCCCTCACGTTCCACAGAGTCATATTTGTTAATTATATTAAGAATTAATAACCAAACGATAACTGTGGTTAATAATAATTGCTGTTAAAATTACATCTCGTGCTTTTTAAAAATAAATAATTTAATAAATAGGAGCGTCCACCTTGGCAAGAATTATCCCGTCGCGTTGAAATCAATTTAATCGTGTTTCAATCGTAGAGTACGGAAACTTACATTTCACCAAACGTCGCTTAAGTTTAATCTTAGTTTCATTCATGTTTGCCTCTTTCTAAAGTAACAGTTGAAAAGAGAGAAAGAATTAAGCTAAGCAATTCAAGTTAAACAATAGTGGTGAAACTGGGCTTTACAATGTAGACTTACTTATTTTTTGCCGAGTACCTATAAAACAGATTTCTACGTAACGTGTGTCATATCAAGAAAAGGATATGCACAAAAGAACATTCTACGCTGTAGAATCACATTATTGCATTCAAATGTCAAATGTACTACGATTCCCTTCGAGCAGATTTCCCTTTGAATCGTTTACGAGAAATTTTCATCTAGATTCCTATGCCATCCAATGCGAAATATCTCAAACACGTATGGACCTTTTTTTTACTAAAAAAAAAACATGGAAAAACTTAACCACCACATACACGTTTCAAAACTATTCTTTTTTTCGCAGCTGAGGCACCACGAGAAGTGCAGCATCTTGTATTTTCAAATGCCATCTTTTCTATGCAAATCAACAGAATTATTTCTAAAAGCTAAAATCAGAAACTGTAAAACTATTGCGGCACGCAATTGGAGATGTTAGTAAAACTTTCGCTTTTTGAAAATGAGGTGCTGAACTCTCACAGCGGCCATCGTAGTCACATATTTCGGTATATTCGAGCATCGGTCATTCAGGGGAACTGTCGCGATATCGCGCGGTTGTAAAAGCAGTAACGTTTTATCGTCGAAGCGACGCAAAAAAAAACCAGAGTCGTTTCCCGATAACGTCGATTAATCAGCGCTCTAATAATTCGTTTGGGGACTTAACCGGAGTCTCATTTCGGCGGTCGCACGCGCCAAGGGGATATCCCGGGGAAATATTAATAACCGTCATAAATTTTAATGCGCGCGCTCCTCGCGATGGTACCCCGACAACCGTGCGCCTCGCCCTTCTCCCATTCTCTCTTTCTCCCCGTACCTCTGCACGTTCTTCTCTTTCTCGCTCGACACGGCCCTTTCCGGAGTCGAAACATTCGCCGAGATCCGCTGAAAATCGGGATTAAGCTATAAATTCCGCGCGACGGCACGCTCGGCATGCAAATTTATTCGCAAATTCGTTCGTTACTTGCCGAGAGTGCCCGAGTGGTCCGAGGATCCGTCGTACCCTCTGCATCCTGCAACCCTCCGTGCAACTTCCATGCCAAGTTTCGCCGCCCAGAACATCGCCCGCTATAATCGGAAGTCGGCATTTTTCGGCGAAACAATTTGCAATGGAAAGTTCAGATTGGACCCGTGCATTTAGACTTGGTGAAATTGGCAGGCTGATAATTCAAGTCCGCAAAAAAAAAAATGTATGATTCGAGGAACGCCAATTC